CCCGTCCCTCCCACCTATCTCTCGATCCCTCCCTGCCCCTCCCTCCCCATCCCTCGCTCCCTCCCTCCCTCCCTGTCCCTCGCTCCCTTCCCATCCCTTGCTCCATCCCCGTCCATCTCTACTTCCCCATCCCTCGCTCCCTCCCCTTCGCTTCCTCCCCGTCGTGCCCTCGTTCACTCTTCCTCGCTCACTCCCTGTCTCCCCCTCCCAACCCGTCCCTTGCTACCTGTCCCTCTCTCCCTCCCCGTCCCTCCCTCCTTCCCTGTCCCGCACTTCCTCGCTCTCTCCCTGTCCCTCGCTCCCTTGCTCCGTCTCTCGCTCACTCGCTCCGTCCCTCGTTTACTCACTCCCTCACTCCCCCATCCCTCACCCCCTCGCTCTCTCCCTGTCCTTCACTCCCTCCCTGTCCCTCGCTTACTCGCTCCCTCACTCCCTCCCCACCCCTCACTCCATGCCCATCCCTTTCTCCCACTCCCTTGCTCCCGCTCCCTCCCTCCCTCGTGCACTCTCAGTGCCTCGCTTACTCCCTCACTCCCTCCCTTGCTCCCTCCCCGTCCCTCGCTCCCTCCCTCCACGTACCTCGTCCCCTCCCTCACTCCATCTCTGTCCCTCGCTCACTCCCGCCCCATCTCTCATTCCCTCCTTCCCTCAGTCTCCATCCCTCACTCTCTCCAGTTGCATCCCTCGCTCCTTCCCTCCCTGTCCCTTTCTCCCTCTCTCCTCATCCCTAACTCACTCCCTCCCTCCCTGTCCTTTGCTCCCTCGCTCCATCCCTCACTCGCTCTCTCCCTCCCCGTCCCTCCTCCCTCCCCATCCTTCACTCCCTTACGTCCGTCGCTCCCTCCACGTCCCTCGCTCCCTCCCTCCCCATCTCTTTCTCCCTCCCTTCCTGTCCCTTTCTCCCTCCCTCCCTCCCCATCCCTCGCTCCCTCCCTCACTCGCTCTCTGTCCCTCACTCCCTCCCTCCCCATCCCTTTCTCCCTCCCTTCCTGTCCCTTTCTCCCTCCCTCCCTCCCTCCCCATCCCTCGCTCTCCCTCACTCCCTCCCCGTCCCTCGGTGCCTCCTTCCCCGTCCCTTGCTCCCGCCCTCCCCATCCTTCGCTCGCTCGCTCACTCCGACCCTCGGTCTCTCGCTCCGTTCCTCGCTCCCTCGCTCTATCCCTTGCTCACTCGCTTCCTCGCTCCCTCCCCATCCCTCGCTCTCTTGAAGCATCCCCATCCCTCACTCCCTCGCTGTCCCTCACTCCCTCGCTCCCTAACCCTCGCTCCCTCCCTCTCCCTCACTCCCTCGCTCCCTCCCCATCCCTCGAACCCTCACTCCATCCCTCGCTCACTCGTTCCGTCTCTTGCTCACTCACTCCCTCACTCCCTACTCGTCCCTCAATCCCTCACTCCCTCACTCCCTCCCACACCATCCCTTCCTCCCTCCCTCTCAGTCCCTCGCTCCCTCCCTGTCCCTCGCTCCATTCTTGCTCCAACCCTCGCTTCCTCGCTCTGTCCCTCACTCCCTTCCTCCCTCCATCCCCGTCCCTTGCTCACTCCCTGTCCATCCCTCACTCCCTCTCTCACCATCCCTTTCTCCCTCCATCCCTCCCTCCCTGTCCCTCGCTCCCTCACCCATCCCTTGCTCCCTTGCTCACACCCTCCCCATCCCTGACTCCTCGCTGTCTTTCTCTCTCTCTCTGTCCCTCGCTCCCTCCCCATCACTCACTCCCTCCCCATCCCTCGCTCGCTCCCCATCCCTCGCGTGCTCCCCGTCCCTTGCTCCATCCCCGAACCTAGCTCCCTCCCTGTCCCTCGTTACCTCGCTCGCTCCCTCCTCATCCTTCCCTCCCTCCCCGTCCCTCGCTCCCTCCCTGTCCCTCACTCCCTCCCTACCCGTCCCTTGCTCCCTCCCTCCCAGTCGCTCACTTCCTCCCTCCCTCCCCGTCCCTCACTCACTCACTCCGTCCCTCGCTCCCTCGCTCCATCCCTTGCTCCCTTCCCATCCCTCGTTATCTCACTCGCTCCCTCCCCATCCATCACTCCCTCGCCTTCCCTCGCTCCTTCCGTCCCTCCCTCCCTCGCTCCCTCCCCGTCCCTCGTGGCCTCCCTCCCTTCCCATCCCTCCCCCGCCTACCCGTCCATCCCTCCCTCCCTCCCTGTCCCTTGCTCCCTCACACCCTCCCTGTCACTCCCTCTCCCTCGCTCCCTCCCTGTCGCTCCCTCCTTTGCTCCCTCCCCGTAGCTCCCTCTCCATCCCTCGCTCCCTCCCCGTCCTCTCTCCCTCCCCGTCCCTCCCTCCCATCCCTCCCTCCCTCGCTTCCTCCCTGTCCCTCACTCCCTCTCTCACTCCCTCTACGTCCTTCGCTCCATCCCTCATTCCCTCCCCGTCCCTCGCTCCCTCTCCCTTGCTCCGTCCTTGTCGCTCCCTCCCTCGCTCCCCCACCATTGCTTTCCTCCCTAGCACCCTCCCCGTCCCTTGCTCCCTCCCCATCCCTTGCTCCCGTCCCTCGCTCCCTCTCCGTCCCTCGCTCCCTTCCCTGCTTCCCATCCCTACCTCCCCAACTCCACGTCCCTCCGCTTCCGTACCTCGTGGCCTCCCTCCCTCCCCACCGGCCTCCCCATCCGTCCCTCTGTCTCTCCCCACTCCTTGCTCCTTCGCTCCCTCCTTGTTGCTCTCTCCCTTGCTCCCTCCCCATAGCTCGCTCCCCGTCCCTCGCTACCTCGCTCCCTCCCCATCCCTGTCCCCCTCCCTGTTCCTGTCCCTCGCTCCTTATCCTTGTCCCTGTCCCTTGCTCCCTCCCAGTCCATCGCTCCCTCCCTGTGCGTCCCACCCTGTCCCCCTCCCTGTACCTTGCTCCCTCCCTGACTCTCCCTGTCGCCTCCCTGTCCCTCACTCCCTTCCTGTCCCTCCCTCCCTGTCTCTCGCTCCCTCCCTGTCCCTCCCTCCCTGTCCCTCACACCCTCCCTATCCCTCCCTCCCTGTCCTTTGTTCTCTCCCTGTCCCTCCCCCTCCTTGTCCGTCCCTATCCCTTGCTCCCTCCCTATCCCTCCCTCCCTATCCCTGTCCCTCGCACCCTCCCTGTCCCTCCATCCCTGATCCTGTCCATCGCTCCCTCCCTGACCATCCCTGTACCCCTCCCTGTCCCCGTGCCTATCCTTGTCCCTGTCCCCGTCCCTGTCCCTGTCCCTATCCCTGGCTCCCTGTCACTGTCCCTCGCTCCCTCCCTGTCTGTTCCTGTCCCACCTCTCCTCGCTTCATCCCCACCTCCTTGACCTGTCCGTCTTACCTCCCACCTACTGGCCCCTCCCTCCTCACTGACCAACCCCCATCCCCACTTCCTAGCTATACTCGCCATTACTGGCTTCACCCCCGCCTCCATGACCTGTCTGTCTTCTCTCCACCTGTCTGCACCTATCCACCTTCTATCACCGCCTTCCTCCTTTCTATTTATTTCAGAACGCCCTTCCCCTCCTTCATTTCTGATGAAGGGTCCAGACCTGAAACGTCAGCTTTCCTGCTCCTCTGATGCTGCCTTGCCTGCTGTGTTCATCCAGCTCTACACCTTGTTATCGCACTCCTTGTTATCCCACACCTTGTTATCTCAGACCCCAGCATCGGCCGTTCCTACTAACCCCAAAGGGTATCATCTGTTTTTTGTGACCTCTCTCTGGACAGGGAGCTTGTAGAGTCCACCACTGGGCTTGGTACTTACCATCACAAGTTGGTACCTCAGGGTATACAATGCGTCATAGACACTGGGAAAAACGACCTGATTTATTCAGCAATGTTGCTTTTCCTTTTGGTACTGATTTTCACATCTTTTAGTGTGGGTCATAAGTTTTGGGGTGGGTACAAAAAAGGCAAAATGTCTCTCAAAATTTGAATTTGTTCTGAGATTTTACCCTGGACAGACAGTGATGATGTTTGTTTTAGAAAGAAAGACATTGAAGATGAGAGATTCAAATCAAACACTATGTCACGATCCAACCGAGTTATTCAATTCATCAGGACCAGAAGGGAATACGTTAATGTGGTATGTCTGTGGGAAAAGATTCCAAACATCAGTGTGAGTGGTAAAGCGCCAATACTCGCACACTGACATACCTGATTCTGAATGTTCCAGAGAACTAACTGCAGAAATTATTTAACATAATCCAGTTAACATTCTGAAAAACAAAAATCCACAGAGCAGAGAAACTGTACACACATTGTGTTTATGGACAAGGATTCAACAGAAAATCCAATCTGGAGAGACGCCAGGAGATCAGCATTATGGAATAACCGTGGCAATGTGTGGATTGTGTGAAGGGATACAATACCCAGGCCAGCTGTAAGCTCATCGTCGTAGTCACTCCAGGGAAAGACCATTCACCTGCTAAATGTTTGGGAAGGGCTTTGCTTAGTCATCCAGCTTCATGTCACACCATTGTGTTCACATTGACAAGAGACCTTTTAAATGCTTTGACTGTGGGAAAAGCTTTAAGAGCTCTAAGTTTTAATTGAATATCGACCTGTTCACAGGGGAGAATTCGTTCAGCTGTTCCTCATGTGGGAAGGAATTCACTTGGAAATCCAGCCTAATGTCACACAGAAGTCTTCATGGGGAAGGAAGCTTCATCTGCTCTGTGTCTGGGAAGTGATAGAATTCATGGTCCAGCCTAATGTCAAACAATCGAGTTCACACTGGAGAGAGACTGATATCTGCAATATGTGTAGGAGGGGATTCACATCTTCATCCATTCTAATGTCCACAGTGAGGTCACACTGGAGAGAGATCGTTTACCTGCCCTATATGTGGGAGGGGATTCACATAATCATCCAGCCTAAGGTCACATAAGCTGTCTCACACTGGACAGAGACTGTTCATCTGCTCTCAGCGTGGGAAGAACTTCAGTCAGTTTAGTCAATTATCCAGCCTCACTAAACATTGATGTGTTCACAGTGGGGAGAAGCCATTCACCTGCTCCATGTTTGGGAAGGGATTCACTTGTTCTTCCCACCTCACTTATGACAGGCTTGTCACACTGGAGAGAGACCATTCGTCTGCTCTGTGTGCGGGAAGGGATTTATTAAATCAGCACAGCTTCTGATACACCAGCATGGTCACATTCGAGAGAGACCCTACACCTGCACTGAATGTGGGAAGGGATTCACTCGGACATCTGATATTCAGAGAACACCAGCTGTTCACATTGGGGAGAAACACTTTACTTGCTCCATGTATGGGAAGGGATTCACTCGGCCCTCCAATTTCAGCGGACATGGGCTTATTCACACTGATGAGAGACTATTTAAATGCTCCAACTGTGAGAAGATCTTTAGAAGCAGCAATGATTTGATGAAACACCAGCAAACCCATTCTGGGGAGATCCGTCATAATTCAGTAATGTGACCAATGGGAAGAGCTGGAGGACCGGAAGCACTCTGGACCTCCAGCCAATCACAGCCCCCCTGTTGTCTGAACGCGAATGTGGGACAATCAACTTCTGAAGCTGCTCAGAACTGCCAAGCAGAGCTGTTGCTCCTCTCTCTCTGAATGAATATTGAGCTTCACCCAGATTGAAACTTCTTCCTCTCTCCGATATCGTTGAGAAAACAATTTATCCCGATTTCTTTTTTTTTTAAATTCTGCTGTGAAACTATTTACTTGCAGCAGCTGAAAGGAAAGGAAGTGAACCCAGGAAGGGAGCAGAATCTGTCCAGACAGGAAGTGATAGTCAATTGGATTTGATTGTTTTGAATTTTTAACCAAATTTCTTATCAGATAATAACAATAACTATAATAATAATAATAATAATAATAATAATAATAATAATAACAACAATCTTTTTGCAGGATGTTAGAAATGGAAGATTTTCAGACAGAAATCTCAAAACAAACATCACGTAAAGATCCAATGGAGTCACTGAAATAAGACATACTTGAACATCATTGGCCTAAAACTATAGATCAAGAAATGTCTATCTGTTTCCAAAGATTTGAAACAACAATTTGTCTGGAAAATTACTGTGACTTATACACCCAAGTCAGACTCTTCCAGTGAACAGATGTACCTTCACCTAGTCTCACAGCTGAAAGAAACATCACACCATTCACAGTAGGAACTTACAGAGACACAAGACCTCCTATAAAATGGAGAAACCATGGAAATGTGAGGACTGTGAGAAAGGATTCCATTCCTTGTCTGCCCTGGAGTTTCATCAATGGAATCGCACAAGGCAGAGACGATTCACCTGCTCTGAATGTGGGAAGGGATTCCCTGATGCATCTGCTCTGTGGAAACACCGATGTGCTGCCACTGGAGAGAGGCCATTCACCTGCTCTGAATTGTTTTTTTATTCATTCATAGGATGAGGGCATCGCTGGCGAGGCAGCGTTTATTGTCCATCTGTAATTGCCCACAAGGCAGCTCAAAGTCAACCACATTTCTGCAGGTCTGGAGTCACATGTGGTGCAAACAAGGTAAGGATGGCAGTTTCATTCCCTGAAGGACGTGAGTGAACCAGATGGGTTTTTCCAACAATCAACAATAGATTCACAGTCATCATTAGATTTTTAATTCCAGATATTTATTGAATTCGAATTCCACCATCTGCCGTGGCGGGATTTGAACCTGCGTCCCCAGAGTGTTTATCTGGGTCTCTGGATTAACAGTCTAATACCACAGGCCATCACCTGCCCAATGGCAATAAATTCCGCGAATATTACACCCTGATGAAACACCAATGAGTTCCCACAGGGAAGAGGTCATCTACTTGTTTTGAGTATAGTAAAGTATTCATTCAGTTATCCAGCCTGCGCATGCATGAACGAGTTCACACTGGGAAGAGGCCACTTACATGCTCTGGTTGTGGAAACGAATTCATTAAGTCATCTGCCCGAGTAAGACACCAATGCATGCACACAGGAGAGAGGCCATTCAAATGCTCCAAGTGTGGGAAGCGGTTCAGAGATTCATCTGGCCTACAGGTATACCAGCGAGGTCAAACTGGGGAGAAGCCATTCATATATTTTGACTGAGGGAAAGGATTCATTCAGTCATCCAGACTGTCGAAGTACAAAAGAGTTCGCAAATGATCATAAGAGTTGGATCTGCTGTTAATCCGCATTATATATGCTGCGAGACAGCACATTTCAAACACACAGCATCTACTGTCTAGAAAAACAAGTGAAGTAGTTACATGGGACAGTTAGCATCTGCATGCTCTTCTCCATACTGCACACCATTCTCATTAACAGGATATTAGAAAGGGAAGATTTGCAGACAGAAATCTCAAAATGACCATCACATGAAGATCTAATGGAGTCACTGAAATAATTGGGACTTGAATATCATAAACTTCCATCTTGGCTGTTCCTTTACTCCCAATGATTCAAAATCCTGGAACTTCTCCCAAACAACATTGTGGGTGACCCTACACCTCAAAGACTGCAGTCCCAGAAACCACCATCTTCTCGAGGAGGACAACTGGGATGGGCAGTAAGTGCTGACCTCGACATTGATACTATACCCCATGAATTGATTTGAAAATGAGGGAAAATCACATCCAAGACTGAGCCATGTTCATTCTGACAGTGAGTAAAGTGGGAGGGTCAGAGGATTTCTTTCTGCTGGACTGGCCGCTCTCAGCACTTTGCTTCCAGTGAGGCTGATGCTCTTTGAGCCTGGGACGGCACATTTCCAAAGAAATAATCTCCAAAAGTTGATGGAGTAAATTTCTTTTGTCCTGGATCGGAAATAATGTTTTCCTCACCACTCCAATTAGATCAGAAGTAAATACGTTTATCTTTGTTCCGTTGAGTCTCCAGCACAATCAACTCAATTAGTCTCCATCATTATTTATGCTCCACATCCTCCCATTTTGTCTCCCCCATCAGCAGATCCTGCTATTCCTTTCTCCCTCACGTATGCATCCAACTTCTTAAATATATTCCTCTGTTCACCTCTATCTCGCGCTCTTGCACATTCTGTCCTGTCGCAGGGTAAAGAGGTTTCTCATAAAATCACTATTAGATTTTTAAGGCCCTTCATCATTTTAAAGGCTTCCATCAGATCATCCTTTAATCTTCTCTTTTCTGGAGAAAAGCTCCCCAGACTTGCCTGAAGGTTACATGTTTTCAGTTCTGATAATGCCTTTTTGAATCTGTGTGACACATTTCCAGTGCCTCTATTTCCTTTGTCCAAATGGCAATGACAAATGTTGACAGTACTACCAGTGGAGTCAAACTTTGGTTTCAAATAAGTGAAACATCATTTTCTTCCTTTTCAATTCTATCTCTGGAGAAAGGAGCCGAAATATGAGCTGTGCCTTTGCAGAAAGATGTTAAGTTCCAAGAGAAGGTTGATACTGGAATTACAGGAATGTCATCAGGGATTCAGGGCTTTAGTTGGTTGTAGAGACTGGAGCAACTGATCCTGTTCTCTTTGGATACTGCAGTCATTGTAGTAGAACAGAGAGAGAGACCATTCAGCGCTCTGAGGTCATGCTGGCTCTGTTTAGAACAAATGTTAGTCATTGTTCAATTCTAACAACGCTGCAAGGTTATATGCATCAAGGAACCTCCAATTTTAAAAGGAAAACAATGAATATATTGTTCAAGATGATAAACGAACTGGAATAATTAATTTCAGGTGTGGTTCAGGAGAACCTTGCAATCGAGTATCCACCTATGTTGCAGTTAAAACATGGTATGTTGAGATGATATGAATAAGTTGATATCTTTCCTTGTCAATACTTACATTTTGTTTTTGTTTTAATTTTGTTTTCGGACACCACATTTGATAATCTGGTCACTACCTGACAAATCAGCACCACATGGGGAGATGTTGAGACAGACATTCATTTTGATAAATGCACCTGAATGTTAATATGTGCCATGATGTTGGGTTATCAGTAGATGTGCAGATATAATATGTTATATATGAAAGAAATGACATGTAAATTCATGGTGAACCCGCACTTCAGAGTGGGTCCCAAATGCATGCAGTTCCTTGAGAAACAGCCGGGTTAATGTGGCCGAGACAGCATTGTGTCATCAGCAAGTCAGTGACACGTTCTCCTGAGAGAAACTGACCTGAAACAATCAGGAGAGAATGCAACCCAAAGGGAATGGTCAGAAAGTCAGTGAGGTTCATTGGGAAGGGGTTAAAAACTTAGATTGGGATAATTAGGAACGGTCCACATTTTGGACACAGGTAAATAAAAAGATTGGAGAATCTTTACACCCATATTTGATCTGTTGCTTGAAGCTAATGTATCTGTGTACGAGTAATTTATAAACTCATGGCACTCCTCAGGAGAAGAACAGGTCAAATCGATGTGACCCCAGCAGGGGCCAGAATAGAACTGGAAAATAACAAAGTACAAATGACAGAGGGGTGATAAAGAGAACCATACCCCTTCAACGTGTGGTCTGTAAATATCCCGTTCTGGTTTTCTTGCTAATTAGCATATATTAATTTAAATATGATAACTATTTTATTTGCTTATGAGTCATTGGCATCGCTGGGTAAGGCCAGATTTATTGCCCATCGCTAACCACCCTGGAGAGGATGGGGCCAGCTATAGTCCATGTACTGTCGGTCGATCCACCGTGCCATTAAGGGAGACTTCCAGGAATTTGACCAAGCGATTCAGAAGGAACATGACATATTCCCAGTTCAAAGTCAGAAGACACACAACACCACGTTCAAGTCCAACAGGTTTATTTGAAATCATAAGCTTTCGGGATGTTCCTCCTTCGACAGGTGAAGCGCTACTTTATTACATTGTTACACATTATAAGAAAGTGACAAAATCAGGAGCAGCGTTCAGAAAGCTTGCGATTTCAAATAAACCTGTTGATCTATAACCTGGTGTCATCTGACTTCTGACTTTGTCCACCCACACCATCACCAGCATCTCCACATCATATTTACAGGTCAGCATGGTGTGTGGCCTGGAGGAGATCCAGCAGGTGGTAGCGTTCCTATGTAACTGCTGCCCCTGTCCTTCTGGATGGTAAAGACTGCAGATTCAGAAGGTGCTGTTGGAGGAGCCTTGCTGAGTGACTGCAGTGCATCTTGCAGATGGTACAGACTGCTGCCACTGTGCATCAGTGTTGAAGGGAGTACAGGGATGTAGCTGGGGTGAAAATCAAGAGGGCTGTTTTGAGTTCGATTGTATTAAACCTGTTGTAAGGCTTTTGAAATAATAAAAAAAAATGTCAAATGAAACTGTCCACAAAGTGAAATATTTGTATTTGACAGTTACCTCTGGATCAGACAAGTGAAAGGAAGGTAGTCAAGTTGGAAAATGATATCAAAGTGGGAATAAAAGACATGTCCTGGAGACATCATAAGAAAGTGATAAAGTCTCAGACGAGACTCCTTCAGAAAAAAATTCTTCCCA